ATCCTTCTCTCAAAAATGTAATTCTTCTATAAAATAGCATATCAGTATAAATTAGGTTTATTAAACATTATATAGCAACCAAAGTATGTATGTGCATTTAAATAACTCACGTATCAAATTTAAGACAATCTAAAATATAACAAAGCTTCCATGCTTCAATGGTAAAACTATAAGGCCTCACACAATTAATGCACTTAATTTCTTCATCAACTTTGATTTCCCGTCTGAAACATACGTTACTTCGATGATCGAACTCATATTTACATACATCGTCATTTAAAAATTCTAGCAAAGTTAAATCACCTAATTTGGTTCCAAGCTTAATCGGACATAGCACATCACATCTTTCCACCGATGCTGTAAAACTAACGCTATGATCACTAAGAATTTGGTTAATGTCATCATACGTATTATAGATATCATCGTCAATATCGAATACAAAAGTAAACGTCTTAGTATAATCGTCATAAGTTGGTGGTAATTTTTGAGTCCATTTAGCATTATTCCAGTATTTTAACTACAATAATTAAAGGTGATGATTTATTTATTAAAATTTAATACATGAATTTATCTTTAAAAAAATTTTGGTTTATTTGCCTCAACTTTTAAACCAGAGTTTAATCTAGAAATAACAGCTTCGTGCATTACTAAGGGAATAAATGTGTTCCATTTTTTGCAAACAGTTCGCAGAGTGCAAAAATTCTGAAAACTATTATTTATTAATGTATATTATTAAATTAATAAATAAAATTAGTGAAAATGATTATATATAATACAAACTCACTTTATTTCATATACAACATGCGTTAAAATTTCGATTTGCAATTCATTAGGAAGAATTTGAATCATTTTGAATTCTACGTAGATTAAGCACTCACTTTTTTTAATCAGTCGATTTATAATTTCGGCTTAATCGTCCTTACCATGTTTAGTATATTAGTAGCGTAAGGTGTAACTATTCACCGTGACGTGAACTTTATATCATTATATAGCTAGGAATAAACAATAGTATTCATAGACTTAAATCAAAAGAATCCTTGCAGATGAAATTGGTAACGTAATTACATGTACTGTAGCATGGTTACCAATGAGCATTCTGCGGCTAATATCAAATACATAATTAATCAAATAAAAAAGAAAAAAGTACATTTGAAAAACTTTTTTTATAAAAAAAAAAAAATTTTTATACGAAGCTCAAAGTTACTAATTTTCTACCTTATTAATTGGGCTGGAACAGAAAGTAACAGAGTGGGGGGACCTTTCCATGCTGTTCTAAATTCAAACAATGTCCAGATCCAAATCAGCAACAACAAATCTTATCGCTAAACCTTACGGAAGTTTTAATCCGATCATTAAAAAAATCTATATCTTTGTGGTTAATCATGAGTGGCTATTGAAACGTATTCTGCATATTCTACGCCTAAACTGACAGCCAAGCGCTGTAAAAATTTTACTGAATATAAAAATTGACAGCAATCACCACACATGACGGCGTAGAAAAGCTAGTCGAAACAAGATTCTGTGGCATTTTACTGACCTCTTTCAATATATTATACTGAATCATTTTTTTACATGTATCTTTTGTATTGAGAGAAATTATTATTCTTAGGGCTTGAGATAATTGGCTTAGAATTGAATAACGACAAGGTCAGCGATTTATAGTTGTTTTTTTCTTCTATCTTCTAAGTATACCAGGGACGTGTGGATTTTGTGATTTGCTGTGATCGAAGCAAATCACAGAAAGTATGTGGTTTACTGTGATTTACTGCGATTTACTTCGATTTACTTCGATATAGTAAAATGTAGTTTTCAAGCGGGGACTTATATTTTTCAAGCATATTAACCTGCTATAGATATTTTTTAGCAAATATAATAAATTCTTATAGTATTTTGTTTAGCGAAGTATAATTAATTGCTATTAAATAGTATTTTGGAATAAATTAAAGTCAACTCTTTCTATTACCAAATACCGGTTTTGGAAAAAAAATTGTAGAAAATTACTATGCTTTCTTAAGAACCCATGGCACTTTCTATACCGAACTGTTATTAAATTTAAAATTTTGTGTTCGTTATGTCCAGAAGTCATTATATTGAGGCTGATATATACAGAGTCGACTATATAATGAAATATATAATTTTTTTTAGAATACATAATATTATCAGGAAAATAAAGCTATAATAGCAGTTTGGACACGACAACAAGCACTTTTATAACGAGTGTAAAACGTATATAAATTTTTAAAATTTATGAAGATACTTTTTCCGCTAATTACAGTACAGTTAAATTCCCGATACATCTGACTATTGATTAAGGCGCTCTCATGCATGGTGTATCCAAATTTTCGTAAATGGTCAGCATTATACAAAGATATGAAGAATATAAAACACAGAAGTTTAAACCTATCTTGATGCTTTAAGAAAAGGTTAAGGACATAATTTTATATATAATAACAGTCCTAATCTAATCAAAGCAACATAAATATAATGATAGCTTGATAAATGATTCTGTCATTATCCCGACAATTTGTCTGCACATTATTTTTGTTAAGAAATATATGTTTACATCATACATAATCATGAAGTAGAGTGGATGAATCTGAACGTACGACACGCGAAGCTCAGATACTACAAATGGATGGAATTTATAATCTTATTTTTTTGTCAAAAGGAAACGTAAGGGATCGCTAGCATTATTAAGACTGTTTGCGGCCAACAAATATTATTGTGGTTAATTAACATGTCTATAATTATGCAATAACACATTTCGTTACATTTTTTTAATCACTACTTAATTCATGAAATTTTTATTTCTAAGGCATTAATTAATTTTTGATAGTTCAGATACTTTCTCAAAATCAGCATTTGCCATTTGAAGATTTCCAATTGCTTTATACAAAAGCCCTCTATATTTATATGCCTCTTTATCGGTCGAATCGATTTCTAAAGATCTGTCTAAATCTTTAAGTGCTTCTTCATATCTGCCCAGTCCCAAGTATGTTGCTCCGCGAATTCTTAATGCAAATATATAATCCGATTGACTATTTAACGATTTATTTAAATCTGCAAGTGCTTCTTCCAATTTTCCCAACTCGCGAAATGTTGCTCCACGACTTCCTAAAGTAGCTGCATCATCTGGCTTAATATTTAAAGAGTCATTTAAATCTTTAAGCGCCTGTATGTAATTTCCTAACCTTCGGTGTGATTCTCCGCGAATTCTTAAAGCGTTTGAATCATTTGGATCAAGTTTTAATGTGCATTTCAGTGCCTCGTTATTTTCTCCCATATTAAGATACACCTCTGCAATATGCGTTTTTACGACTGATTCATCAATTTCATTATCCTGATTATTACCTTGTAAAATTGTTAATGATTTATTAAAGTCCTTAAGTGCTTCTTTATCTTTGCTAATTTTTCGATATGTTTCACCACGAATTTTTAATGCTCGCGCGTTATCTGGTCCAAAATTTAACGACTCATTTACATCCCTAAGCGCCTCCTTAATACCAAAAAATAATAATAATAATAATCTTCCTTTAAATTATTAATATTTAGGTGAGTAGAATGAGAATAACTTGGTTGTACAAGTGGTGATAATGCTGAAGTTGTACTGGTTGGCTAAACAAAAGCTAAGTTATCTGAAGTTGAATTTTTAAACTGTTTAGTTACTAAAGAAAGATCTAAATAATCATCACCAATTGTATTAGGATTAAAGAGCCATATCCTAGTAGTTTTGTAGTTATTACAAATTGCTAGTAGCATGTAAGTTTTAATAAAAATGAGACCAAGAATTTTGCAAAGATGTGCTTGCTGACTATTTTGCTACTGTTATTATGATATTTATTACTGGCTTTACTATACTCTTTTTTTAATTTGGAAAATAGTATCTTGGATAGCTGCAAAACATGTGTTATATGAGGTAGTAATGCAAAAAGAAGAATACTGTTGTTGCAACAAAAGTTAATACTCAAATAGTTAATATAACTTTTGTAACCATTAAGAACTAGATATGTAGATGAGATAGAATTAACAAAATGATTAAAATACATTTAGAAAAATTCTTTACGCATGTATCCAGTATCTGTAAAACCTATAACAATTTTGAGAAGTGCATCTTTTAATAAACCTAAGATTGCACGAACACTTTTATAAATAAATAAAGGTGATATACATAACCTAGTAGCTAAAATAGTTGATACTACAGAAATATGCTCGTGGGTATTTCTGTATAACACTTTGTGAACTTGGTGTGCACTTTTTCATACAACAACTTTTTCAGATTTAAGAATAAGAGCAAAACTAGTTTTGTCAATATTTCAAATCTGTGTAACAGTAAGTGAATTTTCATAAATAACTTACTAAGTTTTTTAAAGTAATCTCTCACAATAGTTACATTGGCTCTTTAGGCATGTGCTTCTTATAACTTCTGTAGAGTACAAAATAATAATTCAGGATGATTTTTTATGAAATATGCTCACCAATCTTAATCTGGCCCACTATTTTCAAAAAGACATGTTCACTTATTTAGTCTTAAGATCTCTATTACATAATAGTTAACACCAGATCTTGTTAGACCAAACCCAAGTCTTTGTATATTAATACAATAGCCTGCAAGTTGATTTTTTTTATGCTCTATAAGTATAGTTAGTAGGCCTGAATAATTAAGAAGACTATTATTTTTTACAGTATATTAAGAGTAGTTTCTGAAATTTCAAAGCTTTTTGCAACCTTATTAATCCTCAGGGTTTGAAATTAGGAAAGCAATTATTTAATTCATTAAATACTGCTTGAATAGTATCTTACCAATTAATATTAAAGACTAGTAACATGTTAGTTTATTACAATTTTTAAAAATATCACATAATTTATTCTATCTTTAAAGTATCTTAGCAATATAACAAACTATATAATAATATATATTTTTATATAATGCATAGGCTAGTTTAATAAATTATACTTTTTATTAAAATTAGCAAGTAAATATTGACAACTTATCTAAATTTATCATATCAGTTAAAAAACGCAATTGCAAAAAAAAAGAAAAAAATGGTAAAAAAAAATAGCAAAAAAAAATGGCAAAAAAAAAATGATGAAAAAAAAATGATGAAAAAAAAAGAGATAGTGAAAAAATGTAAGTGCTACAAACCAAAAACACATCAAATTACATCAGTTTTATTTTAATTTTGGATCTATTATATTATTTTTTGTAATATTAATTCATGTTTCATTACAATATATAACTGATGGTTTGTTATAATATCTGATAACATCTAATTTAGTATTTTGTCTTTTATATCTTGTGATTTAGTAGTCCAAATTAGACAATTTTTATATTATTTGAATCCTCTTATTAAGAGAATTCAAATAGTAAAAAAAATATCTGATTTGGATTACAGGATTGCAAGATACTACAAATTTGCTATAATATCTCTCTCCACCATAATATTCCTATCTATCTTATATAATAGCTGATAAGTATAGTTTAATTTTTTAAGTTATAAATTGTACTATGCTGATCAATTATTATATATAGCAACTAATAAATATATATATATTTTTTTTTTCAGCGATCCTTCCTTTATTATTTATTTAGGCATAGAATACAACACTATACATTTGTATAGTTTTAGCGGCTAAACTACATTATAATCTATATAACCAGTATTAATAAAGAATCACTTGATCTATTAAACAGAAATTCTGCAAAGAAGACCCAGGTGCGACCTGCCTAAGTAGTTTATCTTTACCTCGTCTGGGATTCCCAACTTCCTAAGAATTTATACCCTGAGAGTCTACAGTAGATGCCCACCAACCTTGTCAGGATCACTGCCCTATATAACATATTACCAATC